TCAGGGCAATCAGAAGTTATGTTTACATGATGACATTGTCATCTATTATGTGTGTGCCAGCATCATGTCCAAAACGCAATGTATCTTAATGTTACAAAGCGTCTCATTGCTAAAAATGCCAGCAATCACCTGTACCTTCAGACTGCCCATGGCGGGCTGGCCTCGGCCCTGGACGGCTGCTGGCTGATGGGGTGGTGGGTGCTGGGGGTAAGGGAGCCAGATCAACTTCAAGGGAGAGAACAGTGAAGGCTGTGGAGTAGACAGACTCTTCCTTTCACAAAAGATTTCTCTGCAAGCTGGATGCCGGTGGCTCACACCTGTAATCCTGGCTACTCAGGAGGCTGAGATCTGATAGTGGTTCAAAGCCAGCCCAGGCAGGAAAAATCTGTGAGACTCATCTCCAATGAACCACCAGAAAACCACAAGTGGCACTGTGTCTCAAAGTGGTGGAGCACTAGCCTTGAGCAAAAGAGCTCAGGGACAGTACCCAGGTCCTGAGTTCAAGCCCCATGCCAAAAACCAAAACAACAACAACAAAAAACTTCTCTGGAACACCCAGTGCTGTCTGCTGGTGCAGTGCTGTGTACGGGTGCAGTGCTGTGTGCTGGTGCAGTGCTGTGTGCTGGTGCAGGGCTGTGTGCGGGTGCAGGGCTGTGTGCGGGTGCAGGGCTGTGTGCTGGTGCAGTGCTGTGTGCTGGTGCAGGGCTATGTGCTGGTGCAGGGCTGTGTGCAGGTGCAGTGCTGTGTGCGGGTGCAGTGCTGTGTGCTGGTGCAGGGCTGTGTGCTGGTGCAGGGCTGTGCGCGGGTGCAGTGCTGTGTGCGGGTGCAGTGCTGTGTGCTGGTGCAGGGCTGTGTGGTGGTGCAGTGCTGTGTGCTGGTACAGTGCTGTGTCCTGGTGCAGTGCTGTGTGCTGGTGCAGTGTTGTCTGCAGGTGCAGGGCTGTCTGCGGGTGCAGTGCTGTGTGCTGGTGCAGTGCTGTCTGCAGGTGCAGCGCTGTGCGCTGGTGCAGCGCTGTCTGCGGGTACAGGGTTGTGTGTTGGTGCAGGGCTGTGTGCTGGTGCAGGGCTGTGTGCTGGTGCAGTGCTGTCTGTGGGTGTAGGGTTGTGTGCTGGTGCAGCGCTGTGTGCTGGAGCAGTGCTGTGTGAGGGTGCAGTGCTGTCTGTGGGTGTAGGGTTGTGTGCTGGTGCAGTGCTGTATGCGGGTACAGTGCTGTCTGTGGCTGCAGGGCTGTGTGCTGGTGCAGGGCTGTCTGCGGGTGCAGGGTTGTATGTTGGAGCAGTGCTGTGTGCTGGTGCAGTGCTGTGTGTGGGTGCAGTACTGTGTGCTGGAGCAGTGCTGTGTGCTGGTGCAGGGCTGTGTGCGGATGCAGTGCTGTGTGCTGGTGCAGTGCTGTGTGCGGATACAGTGCTGTGTGCTGGAGCAGTGCTGTGTGTGGGTGCAGTGCTGTGTGTGGGTGTAGGGTTGTGTGCTGGTGCAGTGCTGTATGCGGGTACAGGGTTGTGTGCTGGTGCAGGGCTGTGTGCTGGTGCAGGGCTGTGTGCTGGTGCAGTGCTGTCTGTGGGTGTAGGGTTGTGTGCTGGTGCAGCGCTGTGTGCTGGAGCAGTGCTGTGTGCTGGAGCAGTGCTGTGTGCAGGTGCAGTGCTGTGCTGGTGCAGGGCTGTGTGCTGGTGCAGTGCTGTGTGCGGGTGCAGTGCTGTCTGTGGGTGTAGGGTTGTGTGCTGGTGCAGTGCTGTATGCGGGTACAGTGCTGTCTGTGGCTGCAGGGCTGTGGGGGGGTGCAGGGCTGTCTGCGGGTGCAGGGCTGTCTGCGGGTGCAGGGTTGTGTGCTGGAGCAGTGCTGTATGCGGGTGCAGTGCTGTCTGTGGGTGCAGGGCTGTGTGCGGGTGCAGGGCTGTGTGCGGGTGCAGGGCTGTGTGCGGGTGCAGTGCTGTGTGCTGGTGCAGTGCTGTGTGCTGGTGCAGGGCTGTGTGCTGGTGCAGTGCTGTGTGCTGGTGCAGGGCTGTGTGTGGGTGCAGTGCTGTGTGTGGGTGCAGTGCTGTGTGCTGGAGCAGTGCTGTGTGCGGGTGCAGTGTTGTGTGCTGGTGCAGGGCTGTGTGCTGGAGCAGTGCTGTCTGCGGGTGCAGTGCTGTGTGTGGGTGCAGTGCTGTGTGCGGATGCAGTGCTGTGTGCTGGTGCAGTGCTGTCTGCGGGTGCAGTGCTGTGTGCTGGTGCAGTGTTGTGTGATGGTGCAGTGCTGTCTGTGGGTGCGTTGCCCCACAGCAGAACTTCCTAAATTACAAAGTCAATTCTCTTAAACCCTGAAGCAGCTTTATCAACGTTTCTGGAATGTGATAAATGCTTTGTTGTCCTTGCAACAGTGCTGGAACTCTCCACCAGGAGGCGCCACTGTCAGAAGCTTTGTAAGAAGCAGCTCTTCCTCCGCTAAGTGGGGGACTATCAGGCCCCCCCTTCTAACTCCGGCTCCCTTGCAGTCCCTTCCTGCACTGACCTGACCCCGTGAGGCCAGTAATCACCTTCTTTCAAGCCTCTGCTTGACTTCCCACCAGCCACAAGGTCTCAAGGGCAACTAGAAGGATGATTCCCTCATACTTCCAGAAGAGTTCTGGTTTACCTTGCCCTTAACCATAAGAGAGGGCAGCTTTGGCCATCTCAAATAACAGGAGGAGTGTTCTTAAATATCAGGACTCGAAGGTCACTGGCAGCATGGGACCAGGCATCCGTCTCAGCACACACCTCCACCAGAGCTCTTGAATGACAAGGTTCAATGCCAATGAGAATTTTCTTTTTGGTGGTGCTGGGATTTAAGCTTAAGACCTCATGCCTGCTAGACAGGTATCCTACCACTTGAACAACACCTCCAGCCCCTTCTGCTTTAGTAATTTTCTAAATAGGGTCTCACACTTTTCCAATGGGACCAGCCTCTGTCTGTGATCTTACTAGCTACAGCCTCCCCCAGTAACCAGGATCACAAGTACAGTATCATGTAACGCCTGGCTGACTGACTTCGAAGACAGCCACCATTTTTTGCATAGGCTGGCCTGAACCTCTTTGCAATCCTCCTCCTCTGCCTGAAGAGCAGCTAGGATTATAGGCAAGCCACCATGCCCAGCTGATAAGTTCCTGATTTTTTTTTTAGGGGGGGGCATAGGGGGTAGATGGGGGGAAATGCCAGTACTGAGACTTGAACTCAGGGCCTGGACATTCTCCCCAAGCCTCTCTATTCTCAAGGCCAGAGCTTTACAACTTGAGCCACAGTGCCACTTCTGGTGCAGCATGTGGTACTGAAGAATCCAACCCAGGGCTTCCTGCCTGCTAGGTGAGCACTCTACCACTAAGCCACATTCCCAGCCCAGGGCTTCACACTCTTGTTTGGCTTTTTTGCTCATGGTCAGTGCTCTACCACTTGGGCCACATCTCCACTTCCACCTTTTTCTGCCTGGGCTGACTTTGAACCAAGAGCCTCAAGATCTCAGACTTTGAGCAGCTAGGATAAAAGTCGTGAATTATTGGAACCCTACAAAAAATATTAAAAGAAAACCATTTTCTCTGCATAATATGTCTCATCAAGTAAGCGAAAACCACAGGGTTAAATCATGGAGTAAACAGGTATGCTGCCATCCAGGCTTTATTGCTCCAGGTAGAGAGCACAGACAGAGATTTCTTAAGGACCCCTAGCATTTCTGGAATTATTTATATTATAAACAACTAAAAGGCACCAGATGAGAGGCAGCCTGTCTCATGAAGATCTGCACCTGACCCTGGCCGAGATCTTCCTTGCTGTGGAAGTCCTACACAGCATCTTCTTGCAGTAGAAGGCTGTTCTGTCCTCACTGACCATCCACTGTTCAGGGGCCTTTGTCTGTGATCCTGGCTCAGTTTTCTGAATGGCTGGCTGCGGATTCTCCATCGGCATCAACTTGGCTGTACTCTTACGTTAGAGTTATGTTTCTTTTCCCCAGAGCTGAGGACCGAACTCAGGGCCTTGCGCTCGCCAGGCAGGTGCTCTTCCGCTGAGCTAGATCCCCAGCCCAACTTGCTTTCCTTAACCTCACGAGCCAACCTCTGCTAGCTTTGAACTTGGTCTTCTGCAGCTACTTCAGCTCTCCCGGGCTTCAGCTGAATAGTATTCTAATTCCCTTCAAGAATCCTTCCTTCACATGCACAGCTTGGCATAGCTTTAGTCTGTGAGGCTTTCAGTGCCTTCCTCGCTAAGCTTCATCATTTCTGGCATTTGGCTTTAAGAAAGAGATATGAGATTCGTCCTTTCAGCAGAACACAGAGAAAAATGCCATTGTAATTACTGTCCTAATTTCAATCTGTGTCTCAAAGACTAGGGAAGCCCAAAGAAAAGGAAACACAGAGGACTAACTGATGGGCAACAGAACATACATACCACTGACTAAGTTAGAGTATGGTTTACGGTGGCCCCGCCCTTCTCCATCCCTGCTGCACCCAGCTGCAGGGCAGGCAGCAGTGGGCCTTGTCCAGGCATGGCTGCGCAGGCCTGTTGGGCTTTAGGGCAGAAAGCAACAGGGCAAAGAGACAAAGCACTTGTCTATGACACCAGACTCTCTCTGGTCAGGTGCTGAGGTGGGACCTCAGCCAAGGGCTGTCCAAACCCCATACAGTGAGGCTCATGAGACTCCTGAGCCCCACTACAAACTTCCTCCCGACAGGTGAGGTCTGCTTCTGACCACAGTGGAGCCACCAGGTCAAGATGAGGCCGTGTGCAGGCTTGGGGCTCCACAACAGTGCAGCCCAGCTGATGACAAAGGCTGGCAGCGGATTGGCAGCTTTGTCTCTGGCAGCCTCCTACCCTCCTCACTGAGGTCAAAACCAAACCTCACTCCCAGGAGCCCCTCCAAGACTGACTGAACCAGAGCATCCATGAGCCCGCTGGTGGGCAAGGGAAGGGCCGGCTCTAGACCTGGGCTTCCTGTAAACTACCTTCCTGATCCCTGACTGGCACGGCCCATGGCTGGGCAGGCCAGGGCACTCACCCCATTCTGGCTGTTGCAGTGCCGGGTGCTGATGATGGCCCCTGCCTCCTCGATCATCTTCAGAATGGTTCCCCCGTGGACATTGCCGGCCACATTGGCATCATCCGGCCGCATGATCCTGGTGCAAGAGAGAGACTTGAGATGAGGCCTCCAGGACAGAGTGCCACCTGTGCACAGCGGCCCGGGGAAGGGCAGGGCCCTCAAGCAGCCCTCTGGCTCCCGGAAGGAAGAGAACGTCCCGCACATCTGGGCTCCCCTAGATAGGGTGCTCCTCATGGACAGGACACAAAGTGGCTACATGGTCCTCACTTCATGGGACGGGAACGCCAGAGACTTTCACCAGCTGCACCATGGGGAGAACCCTGCCCTGGTCCGGAAGGGTTGAAAGCAAAGGAAGGGATGTAACTCAGCCAGTGGGGTCCTCAGAAGCCTCCAAAAGCTAATCTCATGACCATTACCTCATCAAGACTCCCAGAAGAGCTGGGTGGCATCTGAGAACTGGATACGGGTCATATCTTTAAGACTTCTGAGCTCTGCCAGCAGGAGACCACTGGCTCCAATCTGTCCCCAGGGTGGGGAGGTGGTCAGGGAGTCCAAGGTAGTACCCAAGCCCAGGGTGGAAAGCTGAGAGCTCCCCACGGACAGGAAACACCAGCTCACTTCCCCAGCAGATGCACTGGTCCCTGCTGTGGACGGCCAGCCAGGCAAGGCACTGCACATCTTTCGAATCTCAACAAGCCAGCTTGTTTGTTGTTCCTACCCAGGGTGGCCCCAGGACAGCCTGGCACCTTCCCAGACAACACCTCGCTGATGGAACCCACGGTCACAGGTAATAACGGGGGCTGGGAATGTGGCTTAGTGCTTAGAGTGCTGGCCTAGTATGTGTGAAGCCCTGGGTTCACTTCCTCAGTACCACATAAACAACAAACAAAATGATAACAAGAAAAAACCAGGTGATAGCCAACAGACGGTGAGTGTGGGTCTGGCTGGCACTGGTTACGGGGCACACGGGCGGCTCCAGCCCTGGTGGGTGGCGTGCGGCCTCAGCCCAGCAGCCCCGGGACCTGGCATTTACTAACCCCGCCTTCAGCAGCTGGGAAGCTGAACAAGTCATATTCCAAAGATCAGGCCTGGCTTAGGCTTCTACCAGCTGAGGTCCTGAGCAAGCTGCCAAACTTGACCTCTGCATGCTGCCCATAAAGTGGCATACACCACACAGTCCCGCCGGTAGTGGGAGATAAACGCCCAAGACCATGCAGAGAGTGTCATCATCCTCAGCCCGTGTATGCACACAGCAGGTACTTGATACATGTTCACCCACAGGACTTTTCTCTTGGCTCCAGGAAAGAGTCAGAAGATGGCATTTTCTAGAGCAATGAACCCAGACATCCCCAAGTGATGGACAGCTGAGTCTGTCCCATCCCCAAAGCCATCCTCCCCCTGGGTGAGATGTGGCCAGGAGTGAGGCCCACTCAGGTCTGACAGCAGGGCTGGAAGCCACCTGCGTGGCAGCACAGTGACGTGAGGAGGGACCCGTGGAGCAGGAAGGAAGAAGGTATTTTCACAGTTTAATGTATAGAAATGTAACAGTGAAATCTTCCCACCTCTGCACCAGTAAGCTAAAAAAAAGTAAACAAGGGCTGGGAAGGTGGCTCAGCAGTAGAGAGCTTGCCTCACATGCGTGAGGCCCTGGGTTCGATTCCTCAGCACCACATAAACAGGAAAGGCCGGAAGCGGCACTGTGCTCAAGTGATAGAGCACTAGCCTTGAGTTGAAGAGCTCAGGGACAGTGCCCAGGCCTAGAGTTCAAGCCCCACGACTGATTAAAAAAAAAAAAAAAAAAGCAAACAATGCCAGTTGAGATCTGAGGATTGTGGTTCAAAGGCAACTCTGGCAGACAAATCAGAGACTCTTATCTCCAATTAACCAACAAAAACCAGAAGTGGAAATTGGCTCAAGTGGAAGAGTGCTAGCTTTGAGTGGAAAAATCCAAGTGACAGTGAAAGGCCCTAAGTTCAAGCACCCATGTCAGCACAAAAAGATAAATAAGCAGGGCACCAGTAGCTCACACCTATAATCCTAGCTACTCAGGAGGCTGAGATCTGAGGATCATGGTTCAAAGCCAGCCCGGGCAATGAAAGTCCATGAGACTCTTATCTCCAATAAACCACTAGAAAACCGGAAGTGGCGCTGTGGCTCAAGTGGTAGAGAGCTCTCCTTGAGCTGAAGAGCGCAGGGACAGCGCCTAAGCCCAGAGTTCAAGCCCTACGACTGACCAAAAAAAAAAAAAAAGATAAATAAAAAGTGGAAATCACACACACAAAAAATACTTGTTTTTTAAAAATGCATTTACAACTATAACCCCCCTGTACATCACCTTGACAATAAAATTTTAAAAAAAGAAAAGAAAGAAATTGCATTTACACTATTACGGGTCTTTGCAAATTTTAAGCTTGAGCTCCAACACAGCCAATTGTAAATCACAAAACAGTTTTAACAACGTGTCTCCTTGATTCCCGTTTCCAACTCAGCAGGAAGGCCCCTGTGCGCCCAGCTGCGGGGGGTGGGGGACAGCCAGGGGCCCTCTCCACAGGACAAGGCTGGCACGAGGCGGCAGAGCACAGAGCTGCCCAGGCCACGGCTCGCGGGGCGAGGACAGAGCATAGACCGTCTGAGGAGCAGCTGGCGCCTCTGTGAGGCTCCTTTGCCAAGAACACCAGTCCAGGCTGCCAGGAAGGAAGAAGGAAGGAGCCCATGGGCACCGAGGAAGGGAACCTTAGGGTAGCCTTTGTGATCAGAGGCTAGGAGTGGCTCCTAAGCTGAGAATCTGGAGCCACCCCAAGAAGCAGGGCTTAAGGTGAGGGGCAGGTTGCCTACTCCAGGAACCCCATGCCACCAACCAAGGACCCCACACATGGCGTTATCTCCAAGGGAGTAAGCATCAAAAGCTTCAACCCCATGCCTTCCCTCCCCAACCCGGCCATCACCTGCTGCCCTGGGGTCCTGCACCAAGGACCATCCCAACTCCCAGGCCACTGGCCACTGAGAAACACAGCCTCGGTTACATTAATCCCCAAAGGTCCTTGCCCTGGACAGGACTCTGCTGTCACTTCTACCATGAGGCCAAAAAGCCCAGCGCACTCAGTCCTGCCCTCAGGACTGCTCAGGCAGTGGCAGCCAGCAAGCTCCTGGTCCCAGTGGCTTCCCAGCCGGGCCTTACCCCCCCACCAGCCACTACCCCAGCGTTGCCTCTCCCTTCCTCCCAGACACACCCAATTGCCACACACCCAGCCAGACATGCCTCATCTCCAAGAAACAGGGGAGCCAGGGGAATTTGTGGCGCCTAGTTCAAGCTTTCGTTTTGGCAAACACAAGGGTAATAAAAGTATTGGAATTGCTCTTTACTATCAGCAAAAGAAAAATAGAAGAGAAGCAATGCCAGCAGAGAAGGCGAGACACTGGACCACCTGCTGGACCCAGCAGGAATGTGACCAGCACACACAACTCCTGGAGGCCCCAAGTTCAATGAAGACCCTCCTGAATCTGAAGGGCAGGGGCCAGCTCAGGTATCAGCCAGGGCCCAGCCTGCCCAGTCCCAGGCCTGACTGTGGAGTCAGACTTCTGGTTGAAGTCTGATCTGTGACATCCTCCCAGGAACCCATGCCCATTTTATTACCCCCACACACAACACACACACACACACACACACACACACACACACACACACACACACACACACACACATTCCCACGGAGCCCAGACTCCAGAAAAGCCAGCCAGCCAGGCAGGGATGCCGCTTCCTGCACGACCAACTCCTCTCCTTCTGGCTAGACCTCGCCGTCCTCTGCCAGCTGCAGTGGCTGGGGCTGCTGACTCACCCACAGCCTCCCCTTTCCCCTGCATGCCAGCTACTCCTGGCCCACACGAGAACCACACAGATCTAGTCCTAATGGGATAAACAGGCCAGGCTGGGTGGGGCCCCAGGCCAAGCTCCATGGGAACCACTGCCCTCTGCAGCATCCTCTGATGTGGGAAGCAGGCTGATGACATGGGCACCTGGGAAGATGAGCAAAGATGCAGCTAAGAGCTGCCTCCAGAATTCTGGGCAAACTTCCCAGAAGTGACACCTTGGCCACATCCTGTGGAGGAACAGAGGGCAGAGGCCAAGGAAATGTCCTGACGAGAAGCGGCACTTCAAGAGGGCCTGCCTCAAAGACGTAATTCCACAAAGCAAACCCACAGAGCTGGCGTGTGGCCCACACAGGGGCTGCGGATGAAAGTAACCAGGAATGAGGCCCAAGCTTGTCACGGGAGGCCTTGGGACTAGAGCAGTCTGGATTCCGCTCTAGGAAGAGGGGCTCAGAAGACAAGAGGATCACACACTCAGATGGGTGGTCTGAGGAGGGTATCTGACTTCTCTACCAGGCCTATGTCCTGACTCACTGCCCCAAGGGAGACCATCGTAAGCAGGAATCTGGTGATGACTGCGTCAACCATTCCTGCTGTAGAATAAGGACTCAGCTCCCTTGTAAGGTATTTGACCTTTCTCCACCTCATCTCTACTGCCCTGTGGGGCTCCAAACTGCACCTACCTAACCACTGCTGTTTATCAAGCACACCTGGCCATCCCTACTGCCCTACCTGTGCCCATCCCACTCAGCCAGCAGCATCTGAAGAGAAAGGATGCATCTACAAATGGGGCAGCAGCATCGACAGAACCTCATGGAGAGTGATCAGCATTCTCTATCAAAAGCCCAAGCAAGTGCATAGGTGTGCCCAGGTCTGGGACCTTCCCCTAGCATGTGACTTGACACAAGAGAAAGCAGCAAGGTCAGTCTATCCAGAAGACTGTCCAGCACCTTAAATGTCCCCCACTAAAGATGGAGAAGTTATACCCATACGACAGAGTATCACTCAGCCTCTAGAGCAGAAGCGCTCTAATACAAAGTTAGGTGAAATAAAGAACACAGGACAATAAGGACAAGGTGATCTGGGAGTCTGGAAGCTTCTGAGCACAGCTCAGTGAGAGTGTCAATTTTAAGTCATCAAATTACTCTAAAGTCCCCTGAGAGCCTCCAGCCATCTCTTCAGTCTCCCTCGGGTCTGTCCCAGGAGCAC